CCCCCCCATGTCCCTGGGAGCATCGTGGGCCCCCGCCGTGGGGCTGCCATGGGCAGCTGTGGGACACGCTGCCTAATTAGAAGCACGTTATCCGACAGATATCCCTGCCCGTCCCGGGAGGGCCCAGCCTGCCATTATGGCTCGTTGTACAAAGCTGCAGCCCAGCAGCAAATGATACGTTTCCCGGCTGCTTTTTCTGTCCCAGGACCCGCAGGGAGGGCTGAGCTCCCCGGAGGCAGGAGCTGGGCTGAGCCTTAACACTGCTGTGTTTTGTGGGTGTGTTTTGGTGGAAAGCAGGGTTGGGGGACAGCCCAGGGTCACTCACCTGCCTGTCCGTGCCCCTGCCAGCACCGCCTGCCCAGAGGGACCTGGCAGGCAGGACACGGCGGTTCCCGTGCCATGGTGCAGTCCTTTGCTGTCCGTGCTGGTAGCGTGGCTCTCCTGCAGCCCCGTTTCCTCTGGGTAACCTAAACCCATAATTTCTTGTCCTAACCGCTGCTCCCGCCAGGCAGCACCCACAGGCTGTGACCTCCCCATGCTGCGTCCGTCCCCTCCCCGGTGCCCAGTGTGGCCGTGCCGGCACTGCCGGCTCCCACAGCCGGATCCCACCGAGCCCCCCAAGGCTGCGGGAGTGGTGGGGCATCGAGGACCAGCCCCAGCCCCGCTCCCAGCCCCGCTCCCAGCCCCGCTGCGGCTCATTGCCTCTGGGCGCTTCTCTGGGAGAGGGGTGTATCCCAGGAATGTTTTCTTTCCTTGGGCGGCAGATCGGAGCACACAGGGTCTGCTCTGTGCCCTGTCCTGGGCTGCACCCAAGCTGACCGCAGTGGGGAGAGGCAGCGGGGCCGGGCTCGCCCTTGCCCATTACAGCTGCGCTTTGAAGCCGGCAGCACCACAGCCGGTGGGCCCTCTGCAGAGGTGAGGGGTCCCCACGGCTGGGTAGGTGGGCACTGAGGAGAGTCAGGGCAGGCGGGAGCAGCTGGGAGACCTTGGGCTGCAGGGGGTCTCACTGGCCCCAACAGCTGCCGGGGTCGGCGTGGGATCTGCTCCCACGTGGGGGCACGGTGCCCCGTGGGAGAGGATGGGGAGGGACAGGGATTATTTGGGGATGACATTGGGTTTTCCTCTGCCAGGTCTCCCGCTCTCGTGGAAAGAGCTGGGGGTTGCAGCCACGCAGGCAGGCTGCTCGTTCCTGTCCCCCTGGCCAGGGAGCATGGCAGATGCCGAAGACCCCCCACGCGCTGCTGGCAGTGATGCCGGTGAGGGGCCGGGGGATGACAGTTCTCTCCAGAATGACTCCTTCCCTCTCTCCTCGCTGGCCAACCTGTTTGAAAGCGAGGACACCCCATCCTCTGCCGAGGCAGCCCGGGGCCCCCCCGGCGCTGGGGATGGAAAGCAAAACCTCCGCATGAAATTCCACGGGGCTTTCCGGAAAGGTGCCCCGAAGCCCATGGAGCTGCTGGAGGCTACCATCTATGAGTCGGCTGTGGTCCCTGCACCCAAGAAAGCCCCCATGGACTCCCTCTTTGACTATGGCACCTACCGCCATCACCCCAGCGAGAACAAGCGCTGGCGCAGGAGGGTTGCGGAGTGAGTATGGCGATGCCTGTGCACCCCGGTGCTGGCAGGGAGCGATGGGGTGGGGGGCACCCCGGGCACGCTGGATGCAACATGACGGGTATGGGGATACTCAGCAGCTGGGGATGGGGACAGACCCCTCGTGGCTCTCTGGGTGGTCCTTTGGGGTGCTTTGGGCAGGGGGTGCCATACAGAGAGAACAGCTCCCAGCCAGGCCCAGTGGCAGCGCTGGGCTGCGCCACGCTGCCCCATGCCGTGCCACAGTGCCCTATGCCACGCCACGGCGTGGGTCTGCAGCCCCGCTGTGCCGTGGGGCCGAGAGCGTGGCTCCCCTTCCCCCTTTGCCGGTGCCGTGAAAGAGGCTCTGTGCGCCCAGCCGCTCCCCTGGCCGGTGCGGACGTCTGGCTCCCCGGCATGAAAGGGCTTTTCAGGAGGGCCTCCACCCTCCCCGCGCCAGGAAACCGGAGCTGGGGGGGGCAGCCCGCGGCCGGCCACACAATGCCCCTCTGTGCCGGGCACCTGGGGCGGCCGCCGTGTCCCCCCGCCACTGTCCTCACCCCAGGGGTGCAGCCTGGCCAGGTCCCTTGGGTGGGCAGGGATGCAGGTGGGTGGAGGGGGCCGGGATGCCCCACGTGCCCCCTGCCCCAGAGACCCCTGGCTGGGGCAACTGCCATCCATCCTCCTCCCCCCGCCATTCCCGGTGCCCGGAGCTGGCCGGTTGTCCCGCTGCCACCGACTGCTCCGACCGGTCTGGCTTTGCCCACGGCGCTGGAGCGTGACTGAACTCGAGGCCCGTCCCTGCTGGGAGGGGCACGGCTGGGGGCCCAAAATACTGCAGCACCCAGCTGGGAGCTGGCAAGATGCCCACCAGCCCCTGTGGGCAATACTGAGAGGTGGGATGCTGGGAGAACTGGGCTGCTGTGGGTGGGG